CCATTTTTTGGAGTTTGGATTGCACATATCTCTCCTCCTGCTTGTATGCTTTGGCTCAGCTGGTTAGAAATAAATGAAGGTAATATTTGATATTTTCAATTATTTGATACTTTTATGAAAGTAACATGAAAAATAATATCTTCTACTTTTGATGAAAGATAATATTTTTTTAAAAATATTAATTCTTGAATAAGTAAAAATAATTTTTTTCTCTTTTGATATATATATATAAAAAAATTCATAAAAATTAATTATAAACTGTCAAACATTTTAATGATAATCAATAATAATTAAATCATTTTTAGGAAAGTTAAATAATAAAAAAAACTATAAAATTTCTCAAAATCTTATTAATCCTCATCAAACATGAAACTAGCTAGAGATTTTTGTATGCTTTTTTTCAGATGGACTTGGCTTAAAAGGGTTAGTCCATTCAGGACACTTACACTGATGCATGCATAAAAAAGGACCTATACTACATTCTTTTAGGTGAATCTAATAAGTTTCACACTGTTATTCTTTCTTATAAGTGGATGGTGCATCTCATCAGATAGCACCTCCACGTAAAAACTTGCTACTAAGTTGCGTGTGTAGGAAGACCATAATGTAAAAAGAAAAAACAACATTATGTGATGTGATTTGGTGCTAATTATTTTCAACTTACCCTTTTTGACCATACCATCCTTCGTGATGATTACAGCAGGAGTTGATGTCTCCCATACCAATCTGGACAAAAATCCCTTTTCCAAGTCTTGCCATTTCCTTGTTTATAGTCATTTTACCTTCAATAGTTTGATTCTACTAATAGGGATTAATACCAAACTTCATTCTTGTCACATCAAAATAACTTATTAAATATTTATTAGTTTAAGATATAAACATAATCAATAAGCTTTTAAATATGTCTTATGAAAATAAATATTAAAAATTATTTTGCAACTTATTCTAAAATCTTGTACGGTGATATTTATTTACATATATTTTTTAAAAAATTCAACGTCAATTAAGTGTAGGATCTTATTTTAAATATAATATGATATTAATTTATCCTACTTTTTTATTCTGTTTTAAAATGAACTACTAAAAATTTCACCAATGTGAACTCTTTCACCACTTAAATTAATCAAGGGATCTTTCACAAATTTAGTTTTGCCTAATAGCGTGAAACAGGATACTTGTATCTTTAACACATAACCTTTTTTAGAGACTAATTATTTGTTAAATAATTATTTATTATTTCTTAAATTTTTATCATATTTAATATTTCATATAAAATGTAATTAAATTATGAACCATTGATTTGTGACAGTGTTTGTGGCAGAAGACAAAGCCGTAGGAAAGATTGAGATGGCCAGAAAGACGGTGAAACTAACTAAAATTATATAATTTTGAAGAAAAAATATATTTATTATTTAAAAATAAAAAATAATATTTTTATCAAGATTTTTAAGATTATTAAAATATTAAAATTATTCTTGTGTTATAAAAAATAGTCATCTTTCTCAATTTATGTTGAATTATTAATTTATAAATAATAAATATAATATTATTTTATTCAAATTAAGATATAATTACTTATTATCTAACATTTTATTTTAATAAATATTATATTTTCAAAACACTTTCATCAATTTTTTATTTTATGTATTTTGCAAATTTCAAAATAAAATTATTTAATAAATAGCACATACATGCACACGCATGTAATTTTAGTTATTTAATTTTGTTTTATTCACATAAAATGCATGATTTTGAATATTGATCATAAAAATAATTTTTTTAACTGATTAAAAACAAATAAATTAGTAAATTAATTTTTAATTTTAGTATAAAAATAGCTATCACATTAAAAAATTTAAGATAAAACTATTCATTTTAATATGTATAAATAAATATAAAAAATATTAAATAAAAAATTATTTAATTATTGAAAGATGTATGAAAACTCTTCTCAGCTGATGGAGAGAAAAGAAATTTATTGTATAAAATGATAAATTTACTTATGCACTATCATCTTAAAAATAAAATAAAAATTATTTTATTAAAAAACAATAAAAATAAATAAATTTTATTTATTTTTAGTCTCTTGCTTTCTCTGAAAAAAAATATGTTAAAAATTTTTAACTCAAAATTATTAAAATAAAAATAGAACTGATTATGTAAATTACTGCTAGACGTCAAGACATGTCGAACGGATGACATTAAAATGAGAATGGTAAATTAAAAATATAGTTATAGATTTTCAACAAATTTTTTGATAAAAAATTTGTTTAAAATGTAAATTAATTTAAAATATTTGGAAAACTTCAGTGAAAAATTGATAAATTAATTTGTCAAAAATTTTAAAATATCTTAACCAACTAATTTTGATAAATACTTTTGCTTTAAACTTAAAGCATTTAATTCAAAAAATATTTTTAAATCCTCCAAATTATACAAGACATTTTTTTATGTCACGTTATTTTATGAGAGAAATAATTTTATCATAAATAAATAATAAAATTAAAATATAAAAAATTATATCATTTTTCATGAATAAAATCTCATTATAGTTTATTTAAGATAGAGTTATTTATCCAAAATTAACTTGGATAAACTTATTTTAAAGTTGTAATTTTATAAGTTTTCAAGATATCTGGTAAGTAGAATAAAACGGGCCCATGATGCATAATTAAGTGGCACAAAGTCATGATTTATGAAAGATGAGTACTCTTATCTTGCAATGATATTTATTCATGCATGCAAAGAATGTCTTCAATGGGCAGGGCAGCGCGGGCAGGGACCATTGACAATTGACAATATTGTCACATAACGACAATTCTCCAATCAAAATGTTTCCTTGATCACTGTTTCTATATATCTCTCTCTTCTTTTATTAGGCAAGCCACTTTGGGAATCCACGTTCATGGGAGTGACAAAGTCTTCCATTTTTCATCCTCTTTAAAGAGCCTATGGTGGTGGAAGGGTCCCAAACAAACTGGGACAGCCAACCCACCAACACTCACCATACAAGGTTTACTTGAAAATGATTTTTTGCTTAGTATTGAGGAGATAGTATTGGAATCTTTGAAGCAGGAAAAAGGTTGCTGCGAAAATCTTCAAAGCTGACAAAAAAGATTCCCAGTTGAATTGCACTACGGAATTAAGAAGCATGGTGGGGTGACCAATGGTGCTTCACAAGGGCTATCACCATTCTTCTCATTTGGGTGTTAACATTCAAAACTCCACTTGATGCATGTCCTCTACTTTTAGTGATATATATGCATTCACCAGATGCAACCTAAGGCTGCTAACTAGGCTCAACTAATCTTGGCACGCCAAAACTGCAAACTTGATGATATTAATGACTTCTATATGAGCATATAAATCAATTGACGGGAAATTGTCCTATCTTAATCAAATATCTTGAATTTGAATAAAAGAACTGCAATTGTACTAAAAATTTATTGAAAACATTATATTTTCACTTAGTTTTACCTGACTCGGTCTAAATTAATCAAATTTCTAATATGATATTTAACTACAAGTGTTCCAAAACACATGCAAGAGAGATAGGTTTGTATTGCCTCAATTTTATAAGAGTAAAATATCATAATTATTTACCTAGAACTTTTTGTTTCAACCGTTTAGATAATTTTAGGAAGCAAACATGTGCAAATACAATCAACTGAAAACATGTATTGATTCTGCTTAATTGATGAAATAAAATAAAGAAATTTTGGGAAACATACTACTACAATACGACATACTAACTTTACCATGTTTATTTTTAACCTTTGACTTATGTGTGCATGTTTAAAATTGAATTCTTTGTCCATGCTTGACAAATAATTTCACACAATTCTAATTGTAAGAAACAAAGTATAAACATTTTGTGAAATTACAGTTATGGATTTTGAAATCTTGTGGCATGCATTTATATTTTGCATGAAACGGACCAGAACTTATATAAAATAAACAAAGAGATTCAAAAATAAAAAATTTGATTAGGCCATTTTTTGTTATTTTATGTTTTATTTGTTATTGTAATTTAAAAAATATTTTAATAAAACAAAAAAAAAATATTTTTAATCTTATTTTTCAGCTAGAAAAACAAAAATTAAGCTAAAAGTATAAAAAAAATGATATTTTGGAATTGTTAAAAATATAACAATTAGAATGATGAAATTGCATGAACATGATAGGTGAGGAAAACAAGCACAGATGATGGATGGATGTTGCTTCTTCCCTTTTTGGGTCATGAGTGTGGGTGCTTCTTAATAGGAAATATATAAAATGCTATATAACCATATGTCTAACATAGATACACAATTGACCAAAAAAAAATAAAATACGTACATACTACACACATATATAATTAAAAAAAGGTTATTTAACAAGATAAATACAAAATTTTATTAAATAATAAAAAATCAAAATTATTGCTAAGAATTTTCTTTACAAATATACATGTCATTATAATGGGAGTCTAACTCCATGCAGTGAAAGTTGAGAAAGGGATATTTAATCCTTATCGCGTAGAAATCATTTCATGGATACTGGCTACTACAAGTACTTATTACTCCCATCAAATTTTCAACCAATCCTTAAATGGTTATGTGCATTGATGCATGTTTTCCTTCTCATATTTAGAATATTCTCTGCCTTTCTTGTGCAACCAAATTGCACAGTTGTATAGCAGAACAAAATAACTTTATTTTAATCATATAATAGCTGTATCATTCCAAACAAACACGAGGCAAATACATTTCTAATCAACAATTCATCACCTAAAACCGTTTAAGGTTAAATTTGTACAGATGTAGCATGAAATTCATCGGAATTTCCGAACTGGTGAAAAGATTTGAAACTACTTTCATCATTTATATAAAAAAAAAAAATCATACGAAACTAAGCCACAAATTTTATTTGCTCTTGGAGCAGAATTTTTTTTATTTTTTATTGTTTTGCAAAGAAAAGGAAATTATGTGGGTGCAGATATATTCAATAGTCACGAAAGACAAACAAGGAGAGGAGCATCATATAAATAGGCCTTAGGCCTTCAGAACAAAATAGCTCTATGTACAGGGTGCCGAGATATTCTATGCGTAACAAGGCAACATATAATTAATTTTCAGCTAACTGATATTCCTCTTGAATGTACACAACTGCATCTTTAATAATTTAATCGGTAAAATATAATGAAAAACTGAGTATTCTTCACAGTTCCAAATACATACTTTGCTAGTCATTTTGTTGTCAAATGATCCTTCCCTTCCATCAACCTATTTAACAACCTTCTCAACAAAGAGAAAGCGTCTGAATTTCAACTATTTTGGGAGCGCTTGCGGAGTTAGGGTAATAGAAAGTAAATAGCAAAGCAATTATTCAGCGCTTGTATCTTCAACAGATTTCTTGTACTCAGGCTTCAGTTCGTAAGTTCCTTGATTGGCCCCTCTTTTATTGTATACACACAGTTCGTTCAGGATCTCTTTCAAGAATTGCTGCAAAAGAAAGGGGGCGGAGATAACCATGCTAGGAAGTGAAAAAAAATGCTAGAAAAAAAAAAATCACCCCCCCCCCCCCCCCCACAATGCACCCGCCCACAAAAATAACAACCGTAGAAAAACATACCGCAGGTTGATCAGTCTCTTGGACAAGCTGTTTCAAGGCCCAATTAGGCTGCCTTTCAAATAGCTTGAACATTATATCCTCCAGCTCACCTCGGTCTCTTCTTGTTCTCTTTGTATCAGATTGCTTAACTGGCTGTGTCTTCTTCTTGTCCTGTGAGTTTCATAAGAATAAGAAAAAACCTCAGAATTATTCTACGCATACACACATTAGAGGGATCCAACTTTCTCCTTGGAACAAACATCATTCATCTTAAATGAATTTTCATCAAGATTATATTCCCATGAATTTATGATTGTATCATCTCATGGATAGTGCTAACGACTCTGGCTATTATATCACAAAATTATGAAGTCACGATATTTTACATTAATCATTGATGTAAAACTTCCACACTGGCATGAAATTTCACACAAGCAAAAGCAGCAGATGAAGAATCAATTAGAAGCATGTGAGCAACTTGTCCACAAGATCATATATTTTATATAGAAAAAGGTACCTTGGAGTTGGATGAAATTAGACCAATCATTCCAGGCATTGGCCTCATTAGAACTCCACGATCATTATCAATAACCTTCCAGTTGAATCAACGGAACCAAGAATCAATTATGTAATCATCAACATAAAGCAAGAAATATTAAGGGATAATTAAATAGAAAACATAAAAAACTACCTGAATCTGTCGATTTTTTATCATAGATTTGTTTGTCCTCTCACGGCAGAGTTTACCATACTCTTCAATGTTTTCACCATGGGGCTTCATATCAAACTTATGTTCTACTTTCCCTTCCATTGCAACCTTGCCACCTAAAGTAAATATAAAAGTTGTTACCAATCTCAAGGCAGCTAAGCTTCATCATGATAACCAGGAAAGAAAACTCTTAAGTACACAAGTATTATTCATTCATTTTAAATCATTAAATATATCAAAATTCACAGTTATCACTTGTAACAACTAACATCGTGATAAAGCAAATTATTTAGACCAAAGAAACTTAATGGTCCTGGCACTTCTCATCCTAAATCACTCATTTAATCAAGCCAAACAACTTCCAATAAACATAATAGATGCTAATTACTCAAAAAGTACTCTAAACTTAATACATATTCATACGTCATATGTCAAAGATACATTCATCATCATATCTTCAAATCACATTAAGCCACAATTATGTCATGCAAAATAGCTTTTTAAAAAAAATAAAAAAATTGCCCCTTATATGTCATAATTGATTGCAGCAGTTAACAAGATTCTATTTCCTCTCCTCTGTTATTCAAATTGCAAAACAGAGGTTGGAACTGTAAGGAGATAATGATGTCAATTTACTCATGATTCAGTGGGAATGGTGATCTTGATCACACTCATTGACTCACTTTGGTCAGATCAAGGTAGGATTGTCAAGCAAGATTGTTTAAGCGATGGAATTGCCTACCTCTTAACAATTAACAGTCTACTGAGTTGCCATTTAAGTGGTGGATCAAATCCATTGTGGGGGGGGGGATGGAGGTGTTGTTGGGGGGTTTATACCTAGACCCAGCTAAACCCGACTGTCTTGTTCAACCTTGTCTCTCCATCTCTGTATTGTGATTCAAACTTTGCCTCAGGTCCATCTTCAATCTTGACTTCTAACTGACAACTGCACGATGGCATGCGGCTGACAACTGGGTGTGATTCCTTGCTGGATTTTTTTTCTATATTTTGACAAACACCCTTTGAATCACAAGTTCTGTTTTTTCCTCTCCTAATCCCAGGTAGGACCTCACTTTAGACTCCCTTCGACAGTCCCCCAACCCCCAAAAAAAATAGAAGGGGAGGGGGGAAAGATAGCAATGTCTTTACATATTATAAATTAAGCTGTCTAGATGCTTTTAGATTGAAAAATAAATGACAAAAGATATAAGACAAAACAAAAGCTGTCTGTGGGTGGACTTGTATTAGAAGCAAGGTTATCAAATCAGGATTCAAAATTGCGAATCAGATAGCCTATTTTCCAAATTGCAAATCAAACCGTGTAGTGATTCATAAGATTTAAACTCAATAATAAAAAAATAACATATATAGCTAACAAGTTAGAACTTATGTTAAAAAGCTAAAAAACTATAGAACATAAATTTATTAGGAGCATTTTAACCTTTTAAGGGGACTAGTGGCAAAGCTAACAATTTGTGTTGCGAGAATGCTTGAAGAAAGAACTTAATATGAAAAGAAAGCAAATTGATTAAATATTTTCACCCAGATTTGACAAAAATGAAGAACCACAGCGAATAAGAAAAATGGTATGCACTTGTGTGACAAAATGAAAGTAATTTTTGGATAATTTATAGAAATTAAAAATACTTCAAACTTTGAACGACTAGTTAATTAAAAAGCATCAATATTTATCTCTAAAATCTTGCCAAATTATTATATACATTAGGTGAAGGGGGTGGACCCTCCCTCTTAATCTCCAATCTTGATAATTACAAAAAAAAAAACAATACATCACTAACATAAATAATTTCATAACCATCAAAACAAATACAGATGTATCATGCTCTAGCTAATAAAATAGAAATTACTATTGATGACCAGTTAAAAATAGAAATTAAAAGATAAAATAAGCATTCTATTGTCTAAAAGAGTTTATATATCTAATAATAGTAGTTAATAGCACACTGTAGCGGCGCAGCTAGCCTCCATGTTGCAGGGCAATTGTCATGTCACAGCAATTGCGGGGGTTCACGGCCAGAACAGGGAGAAGTTTGCATGTGCAATCACGCAAAATTGGGAAAGCAAGAAACCCTATTCTGAATTTTCTAAAATGCAGCGTTTTAACCCTATATATATATATATATATATATATATCAATTTCATCTTCCCCACACTCACAAAAAGTCGAGGCCTCAACATAGCATTTTCTCCCCTCTTCACCAGCTCACCTATTCCATTTCATCGGAGAAATTAGCTTTACTGGCGTCTCTTCTTTGTTTCTGTTCACCAGATTAATTAGCTTTTCTGGCGTCTCCTCTTTGTTTCTATTCACCGGATTAATTAGTTTTTCCAGCATCTCATTTGTTTTTTTTGTTCACTGATCACGCTTACTTCAAGCTATGTTTTGTTTGCTAGAGGAGATAAAGCTCTGTTTTTTTTTTCACTGATAACTCTTATATATTTGTTCACTGACAACTATGTATCTAATATGGATGCATCATGCTCTAGCTCCAATAGTGAATAATTTAGATATTAGTAATTACTATTGCAAGATAAAAACTAAAACGGACATTAAGCTGAGATTACAATTCTCACCTTGGCTTGCCTCGGAGAAGACGCACATAGGAACAAAGTCTTTAAACATATTCAAAGAATAAGTTTTTGGCATATTCACAGCTTCAGAGCCAGCCATTTCCATTGTAAACTGACATAATTATGAATCCGTTATAAAATCAATGACTATCTCACGTCAACACAAGCAAAAGAAAGTAATCAGAAGCACTTATCTATACGGCAACAATTCTATAAGCTATTTTCATTCCTCTTGCACAGTCAATAAATTCCAATTGGACAATAGTACACAACATTACATAATAAGAAATCATTAAAATATGGAATTGATTTGCTTTAAAAAACACTTCTCTTATCATGGAACTCATTATTGACAACAATGAATTGATTTGCAAATCATATTCCATGTATGAAATACCTTAAATAACGCCAATAGCTCACACTGTAGTAGTGTAGAGCAACTATGGGCTGCTACAAAGTTTCAACAGCAAACATTTATTAATAGCAGTTGTAACGGCAACAATCACAACCAAAATTGCAGTCATAGAGCGATACAGAGTGGCTCATAAGAAAAAATCATTTTACCACCAAAATAGCATTAATTTTTACCAGATTTTAGGGGCAAAGTTAAGAATTCCCTCCTGCTTTTCAAAATTAAAAAATATATTCCTAATGGGATGCAGTTCCTAACGCTTATATCTACTGTGCAACACTCGCACTTTTACCAACACCTATCCATCTCATGCAGTATTCTGCCGACACCCATCCTCAAGACTTTTTTCTATCTTGAACTTTGAATCACCTCTGTTTAGAGCTTTTGAACCCTCATTGTCCTCTGTTCTTTTCTCAATGCAACTTCCACCCTTAATATTTTGAGTAATATATTTTATTCTTTGAGCATTTATGTTAAATAGTATAACATATTTAATTTGTATATAATACTTATACATAGCAAACATCATGCTATGTGCTATTATTCTATCACAGCGTTTTATGGGGTCAATTGCTATACGACATTAATAACTATGAATAATTTACTTTATTACCCTTTCATAGGATAATTAAAATAGGAAAATTAATAAGGAAAAAATTGTCAACTCTTATAATTAAAATCAAAGTTGCAAATATATAGTAAGTGAGGGGAATACTTGGATTCATAATGGATTATAGACTTGCCTCCGGACCAAGTACAGAAGCCAAACCATAATTGTGTCATACCTAAAACATTTTTACCCTCCTCAACAAACATGCATCCTTCACCATTCTTCACCCACAAAAACCTTCACCTCATCCCCAAAAAAATGTCTCCCACTCAATCACACACAAATTATTTCATACTCCCTCTCTCATTTTTTTTCTTCGTGGCCACTCTAATCTGGTGCCCAAGGCAAATACAACCTGTACACAGACGAACCGGTTTGCAGTTCTCAGGGGAAACCAACGACTCTGGTAAGACTGGCACACACAAGTATGTCTAAAAGATTTGAATAAAGAAACAAACAAATTCCCATTCTACGACCTTCCAAATAAAATCACTATAAAAAAAATTGCTGTTCCAAGCACATGTTAGGTCAAACATACCGTACGAAAAAATAAACTAGCAGTAAGAGAGCAGATTGATAAAATCTTAACGAGCGATGATGTCGGTCTAAATAGCATGGAAGTAAATGAAGAAGAAAGGAAGTTAGGGTTGAAGCGTAAACCTGAACAGCAGAGGGATCGTCTTCGGGGTGAAGAGGATCGAGGGAGAGAACAACCTTAGCCAGAGGTTGAGAAGGAGGATGAGTCTGCCATGACTTAGCCACCACCAAAGGACACTTCATCAGCCACACCGATCTCTCTGCTTTCGAAGTCTCCAAGTTAGAGCTGCTACCTCCACCGTAACCGTTCTCCTCGTCCATCTCTCTCTCTCTCACACACACACACACTGCGCTCGTGTCTGAAAGTGAAAACACCCTTCGCCCCAAGTCAATTTTATTTGACTTCGTTTCCACTTTCTCCAAATAAAATTCCTCTCTGGGCCTAAACAAGATAGATACCCAATATTGAAACCATGTGTGTCGGCCCAAAAGTTTGGCAATGTTTTATTTTTTTCAATAACAATAATGTACTAATAGTGAGATTGTAACAATACAGTAGAAAAACATTCAATGTCAATGACATAATATTTATATTAAAAATATGAAAATTTTACATTAAATGAAAATACGTCTAATATTCTTTTTTGAATAAATTACGAGTCTTTTCTTGCATCAAGTATTTCATGTTTTATATATTTTTCTTTTAAAAATTATTATTTAAATTTGTATGCTTCTTTTTATTAATATTTATAAGTACAATTCAAATATATTACTAACTAAGCATACAAAAAATATTAATTTTTGAAATATTTTTATTGATTATCACAAGACCTTAGCCCTCTTTATGAATATTACTAGTGTAAACAAAAATTGCGTATCACTATGAAACATACAAAAATAAATAAATAAATATTTCTCAAATATTATTTTTCATTAACAAAAAAAAGGCTGTGAAAATAAATTATGTCTATGTACATTTTTTATTTTTTAAGTGATAATTACATATAGGAAAAAAAAACACTGTGATCTCTATAACTATTTGTTTGAAAATTACAAAAACTATGAAACAAATCCTTATTTTAGTTGTTATTAATTTGTTAAGAACTGCTTAGAATCTGAATACAATCATAAACCACCCAATGTCAACAGAGTGAATGTGGTTTGTATGGCTTTCTGGTTGACTACACTGTGGATAGAATAAAAAGAGAGTATATTAATTTAAAAACATATCATGACCTTAATCTACTATAATTAAACAACGGGAACAAGCTTTTCTAACTTTTTGTTTGGTTTGGAGCGTTGGAGTGGAGTAAAATCCTTTTGATTCAAATATTGTTGTTGTAAAAGTGAAAGGTTTGCAGAAAAAGGAAAATATTTAATTGAATCCCAACTTAAGTAGTTATCTACTAAATTATTGGCATAGTGATGTTCATAAATTGAAACTTTTTGTAAAGGAAAAAATTTTTGAAACAAAGTTTTTTTACATCCACATTCAATCAGTTTGGTTATAGATTCAAATTTATTCGAAATCAATTTTTATTCTTTCTTTTAGAAAGCAGAAAATAAAATTTGAAATATACAATGATATATAAGGTATAGGTAAAATTAGTTTTTTTTTTCTCCAAGAGTTAAATTTAATTTAATTTTTTAACTTTATTTTGATTCATTTTATTTTTTCAATTTTTATAAATATTTTAAATGAGTCATTTTCTATTAATATTTTTTATTAAATGTACTATTTTATATTATTTATCATCTTTTTTCTTATATATGTGCATTGTCGATTATTTGTTTTTTATTTTTTTGTTTTCTCAAGTTTGTACAATAGTTATGTAAGTTAAATCTCTTAACAACTGCTATTTATTTATTTATTAAATTTTCTCTAACTGAAGCAACAAATGATACCACAGAGTGTGTGATGATATTTATATGAAATATATATTTTCTTTTAGTTATATTGAAGTAACAAAACTACTTAAAGTTTTAATAAATATATATATATATATATATATATATATATATATTGTTACATTTTGCACTATTTAATTAAGAATATTTATTGTAATTTAATTTTTCTTTTTAGTTAGATGATAGATGAAGGTTACGTAACTCCAAAAGTTTATGACATAACTTACAGTGTTACTCTCACAAAGGAAATGCTAACTAATTTGAAAGAAAATGTAGTGTTCAATTTACACAAATATTTTGATTTTAAATGACAAAATACAATACTTAATTTATTTATCATGTCTAAAGCCATGGCTAATATTATCCCTTAGCACTTGTTGTCAAAAAGTTTGATTTAGAAGTAATATAAGGAGAACAAAAATTACAGATTTGAGAAAAAAAAAATGATAAACAATGTATAAATTTGAGTAGAATGGGACAGTTAATTATGCAAAATAATTCACGTAACAGAACAAGATTAAAAAAAATCATATTTTTAAACAAAAACTAACTTTTTTGAAATGTTTATAAAATTTAGAGAATCAAAATAAATGAAAATAAAATCAAATTTAATCCTCAACTTAAAACGTGAAAATAGTAATTTTGACTAAAATGTATTTAGTAATATTTTTAAAGCATCTTAAACTAAAAAATATAAATTAATATCTTTTTGAAATGATTAAAAAATTACAAGATATAAAACAAAAAAATTATTTATTCTATCATTATCTATCATAAAAAAATTAAAAAAGTTGTTTGAGAAGAAAAAAATAGAAACAAAAATTTCACTTAAAATTAATAAATTTTATAAATAATAAAATTAAATTATTATATTAACATAAAATTAATATATCTATTATTATATATAAATATTTTAATTTAAATTTTAAATATACCTTCTCATTTCTATTAAAAACTCTTCTCTAAACATATCTTAAAATAATGGTCGGGGGCAAAGGTAAAGATCATGCGAGGGCCACCCGGACCCCGGTACTTGGAGACCGCAAGTTTGAAGGACCTAACTCCAATAATAAAGAAACACGCGTCGACATTGTATTGGTTACATTCTTTAGATCTTCTCAGATAGCGTTCATAAAATCTCGCAAAGTCCAAAATATCCCATACGGCCATTCTTCCCGTCTCATACTTTCCCTTCCTCCAATGGCTAGACGTTCACTCTCGCTCTTCACTCTCTTCGTCTTCTCCGCCGCCGTAGTAACCGCCTTGAACTCCAACTGGATCCACGACGAGGAAGACCTTCTGATCCGTCAAGTAGTGCCCGAAGTGGAGGATCACTTGCTCAACGCCGAGCACCACTTCTCCGCCTTCAAGACCAAGTTCGGCAAGACCTACGCCACACAGGAGGAGCACGACTATCGTTTCCGTGTTTTCAAGAACAACTTGCTCCGAGCCAAGTCGCACCAGCAGCTCGATCCCTCCGCCGTCCACGGTGTCACCAGGTTTTCCGATCTTACTCCGTCGGAATTCCGCCGCCAGTTCCTCGGCCTTAAGCCTCTTCGTCTTCCCTCCGACGCAAAGAAGGCTCCGATCCTCCCTACCAACAATCTTCCTACAGATTTCGATTGGCGCGACCATGGAGCCGTTACTGGCGTCAAGAATCAGGGTTCGTGTGGATCGTGTTGGTCGTTTAGCGCCACCGGAGCTTTGGAAGGAGCTCATTTTCTGGCGACTGGCGAGTTGGTGAGCCTTAGCGAACAACAACTGGTCGATTGCGATCACGAGGTCAGTCTTTACTTTATTGATGTAAAAAAAAATTTCCTCTTCTATTTTTACTTATATATTCTGACCTTGTGACTCTGTTTGTATATGCTTCTTCGCCTATTAGATTTTGGTGTAAAATTGTTGACGTGTGTGCCCCCTTGAGATTGCTGGTTGTGTTGATAAATTCGCCGATTTGCCCTTCATAAGTTTGCAAATCTGTAGTATGTTTGTTGTGCGTGTTAGAGCATATGATTCGATCATTATTGTGATATCTTAAAGACTTGATGTAGTGATTAGTGCACTCTTTGGGAATTTGAACATTAGCTTCATAGGTTCGGATAGTATGATTTACCACCTTCGTCATCTGGCAGCGTTTGCGAAAATATGATGAATTAACGTTTGCAATTTTCCCAGTGTGATCCGGAAGAATATGGAGCATGTGACTCGGGCTGTAATGGTGGATTGATGACCACTGCATTTGATTACGCACTCAAGGCTGGTGGACTGATGCGAGAAGAGGATTATCCTTACACTGGAAGGGACCGTGGCCCTTGTAAATTTGACAAGAGCAAAATTGCTGCTTCCGTTTCTAATTTCAGTGTGGTTTCCCTTGACGAAGATCAGATTGCTGCAAATCTGGTGAAGAATGGCCCTCTTGCAGGTAGTTTATTTTAAAATATATGCAGATTTCTTTCATTTCTTTGACCGTCCTTTATTCTTTTTTGCCAAAAATAAGATATTGCCAGTTAGAAAAATACTGACTTTTACTTTGCATGGCACAGTTGGTATCAATGCAGTTTTTATGCAGACATACATTGGTGGAGTCTCATGCCCTTACATCTGCGGCAAGCATTTGGATCACGGGGTTCTTCTGGTGGGCTACGGTGCTGGAGCTTATGCTCCCATTCGTTTTAAGGAAAAGCCTTACTGGATCATAAAGAATTCATGGGGGGAGAGCTGGGGAGAGAACGGATATTACAAGATCTGCAGAGGTCACAATGTATGTGGGGTGGACTCCATGGTCTCAACAGTAGCCGCTATACAATGATCTAACCATTAAATGTTAGGATACCTTATGGTGGTTCCAGACTGCTCTTTATGTAAATAATGTGTAATGTATTACGAAAAAGGAAATCGATACACTAATGTTTATGCTTTATGTAATTCTCTGTGCTAGCTAGTCTAGCTACAAATTATTATCCAGAGCCGCTATCAATGGTTATTACTAGTAAATTTGCCTTCTACTACTATACAGCCCTGTGTCTAGACTAGTAATAGCATGTTTGATTGGTAAACACTTGAATGTGTTACGGAGTAGAAAATGTAAGAGAAATTGCTTTAACACACGGCTAAATATTTGTTAGGTTTTATTTGAACAGAAAATTAAATACAAACTAAGGATCTCGAGAATAGTTTGTCTACCAAAGCAGTTTGACTGATAATATAGTCTGACAACAGCAAAAAAAATTAACGAGATATTTTTGTAACTTAAAAATTTTTACTGAATTTTTCATTTAACTTATATTTAATATATTATAATTTATTATTTTATTAACAATTAAATAAAACCTTGATCGTGCAGAATTACACACTCAAAGCCTAAGGCACAACGGGTACACTGCAACCGAAGTTACTGACTAGTTTGCCCAATGGAGACTAATGTCTCTTTCCTCTTACAACTGCAGGCCTTCTAGTTTTAACTAGAAATGTATTGTAATGGCCAACAGGAAATATAGATATTACATTGTTTTACTGCTCTGATTTCAACAGACAATTGACAACACAAGTACATGGTAAACTACAAGATAGGAGACATGTAGAGTTGGTTTCATACACAAGACATGCCAGGTTCTTGAGTTAAATTTGACATATTTCTATCTATATAAAATATCATCTGGTATTTACTAACTTACAGTTCATCCTCATCCGTAAGTAATGTAAATGAAAATGGAATGAACTTGTAACCATCTCCCTCGTAAAATTTGTTTTGGAACTCTACCCAGTGAAGCCTCAAAGCATGCAAGAAAGCACTTAGAGTTTCCATTAACAGTAACACACCAACAGTTGCACATACAAAAACTAAAATGCCAACAACGAGAACAACAGTGTTATTAAACCTGCATCGGTCACACAAAACATATAGGGTTAATAAGTCAAATAACTTTTGCTCTTGCGTAGCACAAGAATAAGAACTTACCCCCAGGCCAGAAGCAGAACTTTGTCATAGAAAACGCTCGACAACTCGGAATGAGCTAGGCTATTGACCAAACATAAAAAACTATGACTGAGATAGACTGAATAAAACAAAAAACCAAGGAAGAAACTAAAATGAAAGGGTATGATGCATTTAAAAAAGTGTCTTTAAAATGAACAGTCGGGCTAACACGTCTTAAGAGAATTGATTTAGGAGCATTGAATATATCTAATTAGATACTTCTAAACTAAGTATTTAAAAGTGCTTTTGGTTAGGTTTACTGACTACTAAGTTTGTAGATAATTTTCTTCAATGCGTGGCTTGATATAGGTTTTAATGTGTCTTTCATGGTTTCTTTCATGATAGAATGACAAATTTTGCTAGATTCAGCAACTGGCCAACAACAAATGGTTTGATCCAGTCAAACCTAGGGGCACTGCATTCAATTCATTTGGTCACTAGTCCTTGTAAGACATTAAGATAAGTTTTTTAATAATACGTATTTTTCCAATATATTCCTTCCAATACGAAATCATTTTGTGTGAGGTTTCTTCCATTCCTAAGGAGTTAACAGGATTTCAAATTCCTTTGGACCTTTACTGATTCATAGTTCTCGCCATTCATGAATTGAAAATTTATCAGGAAGCCAAAATTGTATTGCAAACTGAGTCATCGCCTACTTGAAGGAGGAAACAGCACGCCTACATCCATGTTGAATTTAATTCTTTGTAACCTAAATTTGCAGAATAGGAATAACTTTCAACTACCTACCTGAGGGCCCATAAACGGAGATATGAAGCTGTATTAGACACAGCTCCAAGCACAAATTCTATTGTATGTATAAGTTGGTGCACAAAAACCTCGCTGAACTCAAATTCCTCATGGTCTTGGGGAATACTATGTGAATCTGATTCAAGAGGGTCACCCGCACCGTAGAGCAAAGAGTAAGATTGACCTTGATGCCTCTGAGGAAGCGTGGCAACAAAAATTAGAATGGGGTTTAATAAATAAAAAATAAAAAGAAAACGATTAAATTTTATTGTACTTCTTGATGTTGCTTCTTCAGGAGAAACGGCTTCGGTAATAACATCCATGGTACAGCAACAAGTGCCAAAAGTAGTAACACGAGCTAACAGCAAATGACAGTGGGCAGTTCAGACGTGACATCTGTTCAGTACAAACGAACAAAAAATATATTCAGATCAAATTTGAAAATTCTTACTTGAAGGAACTGTTGGCCAACAAAAAGCTGGTTTTCACCCAAATCATCAGTTGGGCTTAGAAACATGTATATCATCACATGATACAGGTCAGCCTGTGATCCAGTGCACCATTTTACAATTATGAGGAGTGAAAGGTAGCCAAACAAGCTGTTTAAGAATATCATCTGGGGAATAAACTGGTACCTGAAAAAATTGGAAAATCAAATTAATGAACGTTATACAGATAGAGATAGATCACGGACGACATTCAACTAAAGCAGTTTTTTGCCATTACCAGATATTTATGTTGTTTTCAAAGTATTTTGCATTGTAGTAGCTCATTATGATTCCAAGATTCATCTGGGATACTCCCAGTAGAATCGACATCTTCATCTTCAAAGAGTTAAGAAATGGCAGTTCACTCCGAGTACCATGCCATTTAGGATCCACACCAAATGGGTAAGTGTCACGCACTTTTATCAAACCTGTTGTAGAAATATCCCTGAAAAGGTAATAATAAATATTACACACATATAATTGTGACCGATTAGCAGAGAACAAAATTAATGTGCTGAATAAATTGTGCTCAACCACCTGCATGAAGGATCACGACATTCATAGGCAGATGGTCCAAATAGTTCAAATGGAACAGAGAAGAATTCATTATATATCAATCCGGTATAGATTGAAAAGAGTGACATCATCATAATAACGTAGCGTCCACCAAAAGCCATTTCCATTATGTCGCCAAGTTTCTGCCATTACAACATTGAAAACTGATGCTGGCATAAAATAGGAGAAAACAGACCGAATACAAAACCCCATGACCATGGGTTAAGTACCTGACATGAAAGTTTTTTCTCTCTGATTATAAAATACAAAGCCGCCAGTAATAAGCACGTGCCATGCCCCCAATCACCAAACATTACAGCAAAAAGGAATGGAAACGTGATGACTGTGTATACACCGGGATTTGCTTCCTGGTACTTGGCAACTCTGAAGTGTTCGCAAATGATTATTTGAGTTCCCGGCAGACAATTAATAAATCAAGAAACAGCTAAGAAGCTAGTTGGAAATAGAATATAAAATCCACTGGTACAAGTTATACAATAAGTCACCAAACTAAGGCTTTCTGAAGTGATAAATGCGACCTAAACACTAGTAAAATAATAGACATTATTAGATTGAACTAAACGCAAACATATGTCCTAAACATAATTACATAAAATCCACATGTAGGAATTGAAAACCTATATTTTGGAATGAATTGACTACAATAATTGATACACTTACACCAGTTCCCAGCCTTTTTGGAAGTATATTCTACTTTAAATTTAACATACATCGTTAAAGTTGGAAATAATGGATTAATATGAGAATTATAAGAGCATGATATAAATTTTAATTCAATGGAGAATTTTTTTTTTGTATGATTCAAGGGCGTGAGATTGATTTTTTATTTATAAGGCTGTCGACAGATCCTGACAATGGACAGACAGGATACATAGTAGGCCCAAACGAAAGCACAAACACAAGTAGTGGTAAAAATGTTTAGCAAAAGGGTGAAAAAAAGTAGTGGTAAAAATAAATCGTACTGCATAGCAAAAGGGTGAAAAAAATAAGCAGTTAGATTTTATAAATATTGAGCAAACTGAGAATATTTAAAATTTTAAATGTTATTTGAAGCAAAATAAATGAAAAGAACGTTAGTATCAAATAAGAAAAAGTTTTTGATAACCAAAGAATAAATCGTGTATTAATGTAGTTTATACGACATAAGAAAATTATTCGCTTTTTATTTTGTATCCTTTTTTAACTATTACCAACATATTGATCTGCACAACACACCAGTCATTTTTTTTAATTATTAAGATAAAAAAGAGTTAGAGAGCTAAGGAATACAATAGACACGTCTCTCTTTTTTTTCAACAATACAAAGTAAAAAATTTAAGGAACTGTTTGGTCTGAAAAATAAAATTTTTAATTAAAAATTCCTATTTTCTCTCCAATTCTGATGCTAATTTTCAATTTATTTTGTGTTAAAATATTTATTTAAGAAATAGAAACATAAATTAATATTTTTTATTGCTTCTTATATAAATCTTTAAAAACAGAAAATAAAATAAAAGATAACATTTTTATAATTAAAAATAAAAATAAAAAACAAATAAATAAATCTTAAATCAAACGCATCCTAAATGTTTCATTTCCTATAATTATTCTCAGCTGGATCACACAAAAATTAAAATCATACTGAGAAAAGGGACAGATATAACATGCACCATTACATTGGATTAAAATTATTAAATCTCCAGGCGTGACTATGTTTTAGTAAGTGCAAGTCAGATCAAAATTACCTGCTAGGGATTTATTTTATTTTATAAAGAAAGGGGAAATGGATTTTGGAATATGCTAAGCACTACGTAACTTACCCATAGGCATCTACAATTTCTTGAAAAGAAGAAGTGAATTTGTTTGTGCGAAAGTAGGTAGGCGGTGATTCCTTTGTCTGTAAAACCTGAAATATGGCCCCAACTTGAGAGTTACAGTCTATAGTTGCCCGCTGCAATACTTTGTGAATCTGTATAGTATGGAATCAGATTAGTTAGCTATGCTAGCCAGTAAAAACTGCAGTCCTTGTAGGTTTATGCACAAACGTATCAGAAATTAAATTCCAAGTTCAAGGACAAACCTGACTTGTAGCAAAAACAGGACACCAACCTTCTGCAAGGAGACATTTCTTTGTCACATTAATGCTAAGCATATTTAGAGTGTGATAAATGGATTTTTCCTTCTTCAACTATCAATTAAAATTGAAAGAAGGAAATGTCAGCATTGGAATGAAAATTAATTGCAGTAGCTTACCAGAAAAACAGGAAAAAGAAGCATGAATCACATAGTATGTATGCGCCTTTCAGCAATAATCCTTAGGAATACTAGATCGAAAATGTCAAACAGACCTGAAGGCTCCACTGCTCATAGTGATATCCAATTGTCTGCAATAGAGTGCTCCAATGAAGCAATCCTGTATCAATGGTAGTCCTCAATTCTGAAAGTCTTCCTGACACCTAGCAAGTTCATAATATGCAATATTATTTCTCGTGGCTAATTCGTTATCAGATTATGAAGAAATGTTAAAAGATAAATAGAATTAATTTTATATTAATAATATTTTATTTAAAAATACATAAATAATCTTTAATCTTTAAAATATTAAAAGAATTCCAACGTCACTAAAAAAAATTATGGTACCATCATTTGGATTGTCTTAAAAAATTACTTTCTACAGTTGTAAGAGAAGAGTATGAAATTATTGGCAGTAATTTATTTTATGTTTAAAATAATAATTTATTGGAGAATAAATGAAAAATAAAAATTGTTAAAAAATAATCTGATAGTAGTCGGTTGTTGTAAGTATTAAATTTTTGTTTATGATGAAGTTTTTTTTTTTTTCAATAGAAAAAATTTTTTTGGTTACTTTGATTTTTTTTACCGAACATACTAAGTTTTTTTTTCATCCATACTACTGAAATTTGACAGTTTTATTTTAGGCTGTCGAAGAAAAAACAAGACAGATGTTACCAGGAAAACAAAACTGTACAATAGCTTTGCAGAAAGTAAGAAAGAAGATTAAAGGTGTAAAAATATTCATCTGAAGTGTCCTGTTTACATAACAAATTTGCCGTTCTTATTAGTATTTGAACAAGAAATTATCAAGATGCAGTAGTTTGAAGCATTTAGTTAACACTTAACAACAATTGAAAGCAAAATAGAAGCCAAAAAGAAAATTATGTGTACCTCTGTTATCATCTGAAATTGTTTACTCAGTTCATCTGAGAAAGGATACCGATTTGTTCCAAAAGCATCACATATTTTTAGAATTTTATTTTTAACTCTTTCTCCGGAATAAAAGACAACAAATACGTTTTTATGAACCTGTAAAATGGGAGACTGTGAGTTTATTGACCAAAATGACTAAGAGTCGAAGTGACCAGTAATAATAGAAGAGTAAATTTCCAGAATCAGAAGAAATATTATACGTAGAAATATGTCAAAGAAGCGTCTTCACTCATCTCTATAAGTTTACTACATATCTGAACTTCTTCAAGAGGTTAAAGATTTCAATTTAAGATTTTAAAATAACCTTTTCTCCTGACAAAGGATCCAGAACAGGATGTTCAACCACAGCCTGTTTGAGAAACACATTTCCCCTCGTAGCACGAAATATAATTCTTTCGAAAGGAATTGATTTTTCCCTGGGAACAAGACCGCTGATAAACCCCAGCTTAATATGCTTTGATGTTGGCGAATCCGGCTGAACATAATTTTGTTAAACGTCATCGACAGGAAAATAGAACAAAACTGCAAAGTAATAAGCAGAAACTACAAAGCGGCGGCTTATACTTGTTCCATTAATAATGGGCTATCAATGGACCCTTCAACAGTTGTCCGGACTTCAAGCTCCCTTTGGTGAGCTACAGCATTATTTTGTGCTGAGGAGAAAAACTCACCAACCTGAAATGATAAAACAAAAAGGCACAACTTTGACTGCAGTTGTCTTATCCAACCACGAAGAGAACAAAACAGATCATGGGATATGATCAGATACAAGATACAACGCTAAGAATAAATTTGCATCATATTAACAATATGCATACAATAAGACAGAGAAATCATAACAATATACAAAAAATAAGATGCCTCTACACTTTTATTTAAACACAAACAAGATCATCAACAGCAAAGTTAAAAACTATCAGAAATGGTTATGGCAATGGTGGCAATGATGAACTTAGCGA